AAAGCACTATTGCTAGTCCTACAACAAGCACAAAAGCTTCATTAGAATCGTTCGGTGTATTTAAATCCCGTGTGCCAAAAACGGAAGTCAACGAAGAGATCATCTCTGCATTAACTGCCGACGATGAAAAGGAATGATGAGACATAATGACATATTGAATCTGGTGTTGTTGACTTTGAAACTTTGTGTTTTTCCACTACACTATATAAACAAAATTTCAAAACTTAAGTTATTAACACAGCTCTTATCTATTTATTGTTATCAGATTTGTATGTTGAATTACTTATGATTATTATATACTGAAAATTACTTATGATCAGAAATGGGGTATAAAAGTGATATTAAATAGTAACAATATTTCTTTTGTAAGTTTGTAAATGCTTCTTCATATGATCTGTTCGCACGTTCACATGGGGATGACGTGAACACCATGAAAAGTGATATTCGAATCCGTCAGTCTGAAAATCGAATCGAAGGATAGAACCTTTTCTATTTCTTTCGGGCAACAAGAAGAAAGCCTACTATCCCCAGACCTGTCACTGGTTAAACACCGAGTCAAACACCGGGTTTTTACACCGGGTTTTCACACAGAGTTCAGTTTACACTGAGTTGAATGCCGGGCTTTTACACCGGGTTGAACGCCGGCCGTAAAATCGGATCGTCTGAAAAGGCATCCAGAATCGGATTCGACAAGTCTGTTCGTGTGAACGAGCCAAATCCAAATATTTTTTTAAAAGAAATGGAGTGATGGATATATAAAGGATATTACACGGCGGCGCGAAGATATGACTTTTATCTTCGAGTGGTGAAAACAATATTTTACGAACGAGTGAGTAAAATATTGTTTTTAACACGAGAAGATAAAAGTCATAATATCTTCAAGCCACCGTGTAATGTTCTGTTTACATAGACCCAAGCAAAAAATTGTATAAATACTAAAAGTCACGTGATCCATATCTTCACCTCACTGTGTAGTTTTCAGTATCTCACTCTTTACTATATAATAAAAATCATTACATGTTCAAGGGTTCTCGTAGATGGAATATTCGAACGCAAATTTATATACCGATTTGACCTATACCACGACGGCACGAGCAGTTGCGAAAAATGCAGCTATATAGCCGGCCATAGCCTTATAGGCCATCTGTCAGGAACCGAGCGCTGCGCAGGAGCCGCTGATTCCTGCTAGTATAGAGAGCCTGGCTATAGTTCGGTTTAAAAATGTATATAAATAGGCCTATGCGCTCGAATAATTCATTATTCCACCTACAAATTAAACAATTACCCTTCTACTATTTTGTTAATGAAATCAATGGCTAGACAATTCAAAACAAAATGAAACTCAACGTACAGTGTCTAAATTAATTGTTGATTTTTCAAAAGATAAACGGCTGTTTCTGCCTTCGGATATTGGAGGTGTTTTGGTCGAAAGGGTAAAATCTGCTCGTGTGCTGGGACTTACTATCCAAGATGATATGAAATGGAACGAACATGTTAATATCATTGTGAAGAAAGCAGGCAAAAGGTTGTACATGTTGAGAATATTAAAACGATCAAATGCTAACATAGATACGTTATTAACAGTATATACCACAGTAATTAGGCCGGTGCTTGAATACGCTTCCCAGGCCAGGTGTGGCATTTTAATATTCCTGACTTTTTATGCGAGGAGATTGAAGTCCTGCAGAGGCGTGCATTGAGAATAATTGTACCTTCTTTGAGTTATAGCAAACAAGCTTTGGGCTACACGAAAATGTTAATTTAATAACTTTGAAGGAACGCCGTGACAAACTATAGTGAGCTTAAAGGTGATCTACAGTCCGATCTGCGCATGTGCACAAATGAGCCCACTTTTTATGATACAAACAGTTTAACTATGTTTTGAGTTCTTGAAAAGCCTAATTGTTGTTTCTTGATCATTTATTATACTCTAGAAGCTTGAAAATATAAATAGTTGTCGAATAAAGCTCAATATTTTGGACACAAAAATGTAAACAAAGGCTTTGTTTACATACGGACTGTAGATCACCTTTAAGCAAGTGACGTTTTTGACAACACGGACGTCGACCGGAAGTAAAGTTGACGTTTTTCACCAATCACAGCCCTTGACCCAGTCTTCTGACGTTACTCATGCCGTTCGTGTTGTCAAAAACGTCACTGGCTCAAAATCACTTATGACTATGTGATAACCATGCTAAAACACATAAAGAAAACGTGGACGTTTTGTTTGGGTGTTAGAGTAGATGAATGCCGAATGGTGTTCGCTCAAACGTCAATCTTTTTTTAAGTAGTTACGTCCAGAGAGCTCGAGAAAGAGGACAGTTTACTATTAGTCTAGCTCTTCGAACACAGTTTCCGCAAGAAAAAGTATAATACAGTTATAAAAGTCCTATACTCTGTAGCTAGCACAGTTGAAATTAAAGCCGCCTACATGCAGGGATTATTCTAAGATTTGTGCAGTAATAAATGAGTTTTGAATTTGCACAGCGGAACTAAATTGCCGGGCTGGCTGGTAATTAGTTATTGATGGAAATATCACTATGTCAGTTAAATTTTTCTTGCATTAGAACTTAGACCCATTGGGGACGAGTTAATAAATTTGTATTGTATTGTATTATTTGTGCAGTAATAAATTAGATTATGGGATATTGTTCAGTACCAGAAATTGGCGACAAAATGGCCACTACTAATTTGCATATAATCCACCGTACAATGGCTTTCAGTTTTTACTGGGAATATACAGGGGGAAAAAATTTAACTCAAAATTATTGCAAGCTGAGAGCTCGACTACTGTTTGCCAACATCTTAATCAATAAAGCATTCATTTACTAATGTTTCGGTGGCATAAGTACCGATCGGGTGTCTTTCTTAGCGGCCAAGCCAGTCGTGTTCAAGAAAATCACTTTTATGTCATCTTCGCATGGTTAAACTGCGGCCGAGCGATTTTGTTTTGAGATTTTTGACGCTGTTTGGTGACTCAATCAACAGTTTATAGATTAATCTATTTCACGAGTGTGAAAGACTAGATCTTGAGCAATATTGCTTGCATGGTGTTTTGCATGCGATTCAAAAAAAATGTGAAAATGTGTATATTTTTGCATGAAATAGAATATGCAAAATGCAGATTTGGGCTCATTAACAGTGATTTTGGCTCATTAATTTGCCTGCATATAATTAGTGACATGCATGGGATAAACGTTAAGTTGCAGAACCAGAGTACATGCACTCATGCAGGGCAGTCAGAACGTTTTCTAAAATGTCGCTAAATTTATATAAATTTTATCATTTTTCGCGCTTTTGTGTAGTGATAAAATTTCCATAGAATAATCCCTGCGGCTGAATAGCAGATTATAGTGGTCACGTATTAATGTTGCCCGATTACTCAAAAACATTTGTAACAGCTAGGACTATATTTATCGGGCTATATTTATCTTTATTTAATTTACTGAGCTAGTCACGAGATTTATTTTATTATGGAACGGGGACGGTTCTGTCCATTCAGTGATGCCGTGATTTCAATATTCAATAACTAATTTTGGTATTCAAATTTTTACTGTGCTGTTCACAAAGAATCTTTTATATAGTTGTAAAAGTAAAGAGAAGTAGAGCAAAGAAATTATGTTTGTTGCTGTGTGTTACAAAAGAACCTATTCTTTAGAGGGGGAAGTACTTGAAAACATATTTTCGGTTACCATGCATACTCAACTATGACTATGCATGGTAACGGAAAAATACGTCTGCAAGTACTTTCCTCTAAAGAATGCCTTTTTTGTACACCCACGAGATTTGAGAAGCGATATTCGACATTCAATATCTATACAATCACCCCAGTTCAGTAAAGACGGCAAAATGAATGTGCGTTTATCAATATTGATAATATTTCTTGGATTTTCGACTGTTGAATGTCGAAAATGTTTTACTCCTACTCTCCGCATATCAAGTGATGTGTATGATAAATGTCCAGAAAGTATACCGAAGTGTTGTGGCACCAGACGAGATAGGTGTGCTACGTCGTGCGTAGATTTCAAATGTGAAACAAATGATGACTGTGATGGTTTATCATGTTGTAGTGGTAACTGCTCTAATAACAAGAATTGTTTACCTGTATCAACTTGGGGAGTGGTAGGCATTGCTGTTGTCAGTCTGTTTATTTTGCTCACCTTATTTCGTGCATGTCATTGGTGTCGTAAACGGAAACTCTGGACACGACAAGACACTAGAACCACTAGTGAAGAACAAACAAACAACGAGCCACCATTTGTGGTATCTGATTTTGATAATCATGGTTTTATCACTCCAATGGCACCACCAGCTTACGAGAGTGTGGTACAGAACACAGGATCAAGAACTGATGGCAACCCTCCAGTTTACAATCTAAATTTACAGACTCTAATAAACAATTCTTCAACAAATGACCTTGGCTCCAATAATTTCGAAGTTAATATATCTATCAGGGGATCAACCCTGTTTAATAATGATTTTCCACCATCGTACAGTGAAATAAGTCATTCAAGTGATGATGATGATAGTCAACCGCCATTATATAGTTCAAGTCAAGGAGGTGTTGAAAATTGTGAAGAAAGAAGACTGACACTTAGTTATAGTGATGAACCACCACCTTACAGTTTAAACGAGGAATCACCAACAGATCCAGGTAATATCACAACAGATCCAAGCATTGACGAAGATTCCACCTTGAGTCAAGATAATACCTCCTCTGGGGAAGTTCAAATAGTAAGCGGCTTTATTCCAGAAGCTGACAATGAACAAATGTCACATCATAGTTCAAATGTTCATGAAATTGCTCTTACCAGTTCTGAATCTACACATGAAATATCAAATGACGAACAGTCATGTTATAATGTAAACCAAGACGAAGACACTGCATCATCAGATTTATCGAATAATTCAAGTCAGAGTGATAGCACAGTTTCGGTAACAACTACAACACATTTTTAGTGAATGAACAATACATAATTGTTTCGCTTGAAGGGATAGAAGATATTGTACAGCACTATATCGACACTACAGGCTAGACACCTTGGGGGAGTACGTTGGATGAGTCGTACAATATGCATGTGCACTGTACAGTCACATAGTACTCATAGTTGACTTCAGGGAGCTACGTTAAAAGCCGGCTAACCCAGGCCAAGGCACGTAAAATATTTTCCACCTCAACCAACATTTCTACTAAAATCCAGCACCAAGATACGCGATTTCATTTGGTTGTCTTTCTCAGGGGTAGAAGAGAAATATTTTAATTCAAAAATATTCTTTCCAATTTTGTTTCAAATATTAATACCCCTAACCTAAATATTCCTATTCTCGAATATTCATTTTTCTATACTACAAATATAATATTCAAACTTCTTTAAAATCTAGTAAAAAATTGATATAAGATATCGACAATAACGTATTGACTATTATTGGTACATTATCTAAATTACCTTATTATGTAAATATAATTGTTATATAATTAGTGTCAAAGTTCATTTTTCTGTTTTCCGATTGGACAAAAGCGTATCACGTGCCGGTCCGCAAAACGTCGTGTTTATTGCATTGCCCTGGCAACGAGGCAACCAGTCCATAATAGAACATTTATTGACCGGTCAACAATAGAATGGGGGCAGACTGGGAGCAGGGAAAATGGGGGCAGGGAAACAGTGTGTTTTGTGGAGCCGAGACCGCCGGGGCCACAAAACACACTGCTTTCCCGAGGTCTCAGTAAATAAGTGTTTTGTTATATAGTACATAAGTGTCAAAGTATGAATAATTCACCGGTTATTGGAGTGAACTTAATTTGAAACCAAAACTGGATAAATGGAACGCCGTAAATGTTTAGTAAAAAGTTTAAAAAATGAACTTTGGAACTTCATGGTTGACACGCATGCGTATTGCACCCATTTTATTATTGACCAGTCAATGTTTCATTGCGGACCGGTTGCCGAACATGACGTTTTGTGGACTGGCACGTGACACGGTTTTGACCAATCAGCAAACAGAAAAATTGAATTTTGACACTAACTATATAACAAAAACATTTACGGCGTTCCGTTTATCTAGTTTTGGTTTTAAAGTTCACTTTAATACCGGGGAATACTCATACTTACATGCAAGAATTTAACTGTAACAATTCCCATAAAACAGACTACCTCGTACTAACTTTAGTCCCTGCCCTGGGCGTGAATTTAGCTAGTCCCTGTCCTGGGCAAGTTTGCTGACTCTCAAGTTCGATTTACAATTTAGCCACTTTCAGCAGTAAATGAATTGATATTTGGAACATAACCCTGTCCTATAGAATTGAGAAATATTCATAGTATATTAATTGTAAAAATAAATTTAGACAAGTTATATACATAAATTCTTAGTAGATTCTTAATTATTTATATATAATTATACATATCTTGCTCTAATATTCAATTGGCTTAAATATTGCACGATTCCATTAATTGTTTATCATGACCAACAGAGCACATTATGGTTAACTTGTTAGAGTTGTAAAAACAGTGTAAACTTTATTTATACTATGTATATAGTATAATACAAATCAGTGTCAGAGAAAAAACATGACCAATATGCAGACGAATTACTTCATGAATGATGAATGTTTTTAAGAAGGTACATGTGATCATTGAACTGTCTGTGCCAGTGTGGGTATATAGTGCCAATAATAGCTTTCCTTGGAAGGGATGCACTACCTGAAAAATATAAGGAGAATTTCGACGTTTCGAGCGAAGGCCCTTCGTCTGGAGTTACAGTAACGCCAGACGAAGGGCCTTTAAAAACCGTTCCTGATATTAAAGAGGTTAAGATACTCCGGTTCCGGGTACGAGTATCGCCAATCAAGTTTTGCTGATGTCAGCATGTTTACCCGTAATTTCTACCCGTTTCCCCGCGGTAAACCATGGTCTACACGTAGAAGACAAACGGGTACGGGTGTTAATAGAGAGTTAGATACCCCGGTTCCGAGTGATATACACGTACCACTCCTTAAACCGGGTACGACTTGCAACTTTAAGAAATCCAAGATATTCCGGAGTACGAAAACCGATCGGAGAATGGTAACTTTCGTTGTTGAGGTTCACCATATAGATTTGGGAAAAATTGACGAGCATATGTGCACTGACAGTTATTTAGGTAAGATGTTTAAGTATTTAACTATATACTTAAATGCTGTACAAATATAGTAAACAGAAAACACCCGCATCCGTTTGTTTACGTGTGGACCATGGTTTACCGCGGGGAAACGCGTAGAAATTACGGGTAAACATGCTGACATCAGCAAAACGTGACAAATAAAATGGTGATGTACTCGACCGGGGTATCTTAACCTGACTCTCTGCTACTTGTCTTGTGAACCGTTTAAGTTGCAAGTCGTACCGGGTGTACGGGTATGTGTATAACACCTTAATCTCTCTAATAATTATCTTCTTAACCTCTCTAATAATTATTTCTGCGACATCCAGACCAGTCGCGTAACGGAGGAACAGGGGGCCCTTAGGCATATTTGGTGTGGGGGCCCCTGTTGTCATTGTTTGACTGAGATATTATATTTATATTGAATATTTATAAAATGTTCTGGAAAATTCCATGTCTATAACAATAACAGTCTCCAACACATGTAACAACTAATAAGAATAACTTTTGTTTTATTTGAAATGGAATTAAAAAATCAGCTACCGGTCGGCCGTTGTCGATGGAGGCTTTATTATTTAGCATTTGTATTAATTTTGCATTTTCCCATTGATTCTTAACCTGCATTTTTTACGTTTTCTAATTTTCTGGGCGATAGGCTGTGGCTGTGGGTGAAGTGGCTTAGTTTTTGAACTAACCCTACCCAATGAGCGCTACGCCACTGATCCAGACACAAGATACATACTTATAGTTAGTACGAAAGACTAAGCTGTTTGCAATTAGCGTACTGAGTGCCTCGCTGACGGTTGGCAGCAATTAACGTATATTTTTATTTTTTGTATTCCAACTATGCCATTAAGTTACCATACTATTGTAGGTAAAGACGAGGGAAATGTTGACCCAAATCAGGTGGGATAAAGCCTTCTTTTGGAAAATCCATCTTGACTGAGTTCCACCAACCCGTTGTTCACTGTTTCTGACTGGTTCATAAAATTAGAAAATTAAGCTGCATTGTTAATTATTAAGGAGTTTTATTATTTTTCAAAACTTCTTCAAAGTTCAAACTTTAATTAAAAATATGAAATAACGATATTATTTTGACATATAAAACGCCGCAACGTGTTCCATACTGATCATGATTCTTCCGCTTTACTATAGTATTGGGTAGTTCCACCTTCAATTTTATAACACAATAGATACTCAATCCAGTCAGATTGCCAGATCAGTGATCACTACTAAGTAGTTGACTATATGCTCGAGACATTTTTATATTAATATTGCTTCCCCTAAAACATTTTTAAACCTAGATTTATCTTTCTGAGCTAGTCTGATTTGCACTACGTTTATATTGTGTAAAATGGAGACGATTTTCTCCATTCGGTGATTCCGTGATTTCAATGTGCTGTATTAATTTTGGCAATCAAATATTTCCTTTGATGTCACTAACAAGTCTTTGTAGCGGTTAAAGAAAAGAGATGCAAAGCATAGAAATTATGTTTGTTGCCATGGGTTACCAAAGAGAAGCCATTATTTAGGTAGGGAAGCACTTGAACACAGGAACTTATACAATTATGATATTTGCCCTTAAACCACTCTATTTTTCTTTTCTAACAAATCAACATTCCATCGGTATAACTATATCATTAAACAGTATTAGTCGACCCAAGATAACGTGCACACCATCGATAACTATGTTGCTGCTTGTGTTTGTTCTGTTTCCTATTTCAACTGTAGCTGAAGTTTGTAGCGACGATCCTTTAAATGAAAGAGTCATTTTTACTTGTCGTGAACGATGTTGTGGTTTAGCACGTCAATGTCTACCTACGTGTTTAAATGTTACATGTGAAAGTTCAGAAGATTGTGATGGTTTGACTTGTTGTGATCATAAATGTCAGAAATCATCACACTGCTCAACTAAGAAACCACCAATGATAGTGTGGTTATCAGCTTGGTTGGCCTGTGTCGCGCTGGTTATAGCTGTGTTATTAGGATTTTGCTGGTGTATTAAAAAGAAGAGTGGGCCGTTAGATCCAACAATTTCCACTGAAATATCAGATGCATTTTTGGATAAAGATCGTTCTGAGAGCTTAACAACTATTGTAACATGGACATCAAAAGAGACTATTCTTGCTTAAAACATGCTGACAATTTATTACTGCATGATTGCGTGATCACCTTAAACCACAAACAATACCTCTTTGCAATTGATTATACACAACAAAGAATCGTGAAAGAGAACGATTAAGATTTAATGTTGTGAGGATAGTTAACGAAATGAAGTCAACTCGGAAAAGACTGCTTCATCTGCAAGTAAACTTTCATTAAAGCGAGAAGAGATCGTGAAGATCTGAAGGGAAATAGACGAAAATCGACGATCATAAATTCTGGCTGCACTTGTGAAATAGTTTATATTGGACTTCAGTTTAGTGAGACAAAAAAAACATAATACTGACTTAATCACAGAAATAAATAAAAAACCAAAGAATACAGATTGCAGTATAGATTCCGATTCATGAATCGCTGGTGCTTTACGAGGTTAAATGGAGAGGACATATAAATACAAGTTAAGGTTATATAAAAAGTCGAGTATAAAACCTCGAGTGAGACAATGATGTCAATAACTCAATATACTATAAGCAACTTTCACCGAACTTCATACTGTATTTGCAACCTGAATCAGTCATCCGTCTAGTGATATTTTGATGTATTGAATTGACGTAAGTCATGGTTATTGAGTCTTGACTTAGAGAAATTGTGTTTATTTTATGTGATGACGTAGATAGCTTAAGCAATATAGTGCAGCGGATGGTGTAGGACAACTTCCGAAATGTTGACACTTACATAGATATACTAGAAACTAAACTATACATCTCTAATTTATTATTATTATTTCCCTTCAAACACAAGACTATACAGCTAATTCAAAAAAGGTTGTCCTTTGCAAATCTTAAAGTGCTTAAACTCTAAAGCTTAAACTCTAAGCGTGCAAAGCATCATTTAATCTGTTTAGAAATCATATATGGGGCCGATTTCGCAGAGACATGGTAAATATCTCCTTACGAGAACAAATCATTCACAATTAAATAGCTGCAATATTCAGTTACTAAGCTTGAAACGTGTGCTCCCATTAAGCTTTGCGCGCTTAGAGTCTAAGGTTTTATAGGTTTAGAGTTTAAGGTTTAGGACAACCTTTTTTTGAATTGGCTGTATACAATAAACATATAATGAAAAGTATTTTCACACTCTGATAGGTACTAGTGCTTAGCGAAACCCGCCTATACGGCGCGAAGACGGCAACAGACAGCCTAGACCTAGGCCTTCTATTTTTATTAATTTTAAATTATTTTTTAATATTCAGCGCTTTTTCACATAAGAAGACTGGGACCTACGCGATACCATGGCGATACTCACCAGCTAGCCCGAAATTGACCAAAGCCAGCCGAGTAAATGCCTAGGTCCAGGCTGGGCAACAGATAGCCCTGCTTTAGACTTGCTCATAATAAATACAACATATAGATTTCGTCAGCAACTTTAATCATTTCGGTGCTTTTAACATCGCAAAAACGTTTCTGTGATGATGAGTAAATGCGCATCAGTAGGAAGACAGGAGAGCATATACACTTGCTCCACATTCCTTCTCGTATCCGCTATATATAGCTAATAGTAATAATAAATAATTCTGAATAAATCAGAAAAATGACTAAAGAGTGAATCAAAGAAATAGGGACTTGGCAAGGTGCAGATGTCTTCAAACCAATTATGGAGAATAGAATAAGGCGTCGGATGTATCCCCAAGCAACGCAGAAGATTGAGACCTACACATAGTTTATATCTAAGGTAACAAGAATATAGTATATTGGATACAGTAGCGTTGTATATCAGGGCTGGTTGTGTGTCTCAAACAATTCTAATGTCCCAGGAAAATATGTCGGCATGATGTCCACGATATTTTCTGACACCCTGGCAATAACTAAAAACTTGATCTGGAAACTAGGCTGATGGACTGATGTCGCTGCCTGGTGGCGTATAGGCAGGATACGTGATTGCAATACTCAATATTTCGTTCTGCGTGCGCGTGGTGAAGTGACCGAGACGACATATTAAAGCAAGACACTCTGCTGTCAGGGAAACTGCGGATGGAAATTAAGGAAGTATTTCCTACAAACTCTTTCCCAAGGTTTAGCGGGCGTGAAATGATTCTGCTGTTCAATATAATTCTTACTGTTCATTAAGGTATGTTTGTCAAAAGCTATCATGATTCCCTGTCACAATTTGCAATGTTTATTATTATTATTTGTTATGTAATCTTAACGTTGTGACAATTTTTCCTTTTCTAAAGCTATTTCTTGTTAGAATGATGTAGTCATTTCTAAAATTGAACGACGTTACCAATCATCCAGAAAATCGCTGTTAAATTATTGCCAAGATTTAGGTTTTGAAAAACCTGGCTAATTTCCTGATGACACTTGTCAGAGGGCTCATCTGCATGTAGAGAAGTTAAATGGCACGAGAAAACAATTGAACGGAACATTATAGCACTTACATACTTGAGTTTCTTTACTATTGACGCTGTCTGCAATATCTACATGAGTTGGTAATGAGGGTGCTTAATTAAGTCTTAACTTTCTTGCCTTGGTTCCGCGCTTTTGTTAAGCTTGATTGCGTGTTTTCCGTTGTCATTTGGTATCTAATAGCCGCTTTATTACTAGAGGCGCATTGTACATCTAGACGCATTACGCGTCTTCATATTATTCATCTACTATAAAGACCGGACGAATAAAGAATCAGACGAATAACGCTTTCTTTGTTATGCGTCTGTATTTAAAGACATGCAAGACGCACATGATGATCGGTTGTGCTTAAGACGAACTGACGAACATTGTTCGTTCTTTATAACACACATGGTATTCTTTGAACTTCTTTCTCACATTCGTCTAGACGAATACACGCTCGTGTTCCAAGATCCGCCATGTAAAGTGTAGTGAAATGTATCTCAATACTAATGGTAACTGGCATAGCCAATAGAAGCCTCTGCAGAGGAGAGAGGTAGGCACTGATTATAATGAGTACACCATTTTTGTACATGGGCATGGTGGAAATGACGGAGTGCGGAGAAAAATTCCGGTCGAAAAAGGTCGGTCAAAAATGGTTTATTTCGCCTAGATTCGATTTTAAGACTCCGCGTGTTGTACTTTATTGGGGCACAAAGTGGAAAACGCGGATTCTGGCCAAAAATTAGCTTTTTGCCTAAACTGAGATTCGATTTTAATGAGACTCCGCGTTTTCCACTTTATGCCCACATAAACAATTTTTTGACTGATTCCGTACTCCACACTCCGTACTCCGTCTTTTCCACCGTGCATGCCTTGTACATGTTAGGGAAACACCAAAATTAAACCCAATAAGTATATATTGAAACACTTTAACACTTATTGAGTGTAAATAACATACTTGATAAGTGTATTTGGTGTTTCCCTAACACATGCAAAAATAGTGTGTTAACATGCATTTAATAGTGACATAAAGTTTAGAGTGTAATAATACGTCTTTATAGTATAAAAACGGCCCAACATGTAATATAATTTCCGAAACAAACCACCATGCATGCCAAATATGGCGTTTTACAGAGTTGTTAAGTCATTGAAATCTTTTCAAAATACATATCTGTATGATTATATATAGGAATTTGTAGCTTGATGACAAATTTACATTTACAATTGCCTAATAGTTATGCATACAGTAAAATACACTTAAATACTATATATGCGATATAATTTATTCAACTATGCATTATATTTCAAAAACAAAAACATACACTAATGATGTATAATTTATGGTAACATATACATGCACATATAACTGTAAAACATTCATGTCATATATAAAACCCTATCGGTTATAGTGTGTAAGTATTCATTGACATGTGCTGGCCATAAGCTAGCGCATTGACTTGAGAATGTTTAGTAACTGACTACATAATTATTTTTAAACTCATTAGTTGAAGCATAGACAATCGGAAGAGGTTATTTCGCTGGCCTCAGAGTGACAAAACGTAACAAAGCAACGGTTTTACTAACACTAACCCTATTCCAAACACCAACTCTAACCCCTAACCCTATCCTTACCCTAACCTAACCCTACTTCAAGTTTGTTTCTAAACCAATCTTGAAGAAAATTATTTTGACGAAATGTCATTTTGAGGTCAGCGAAATAACTTTTTCCTAGACAATCGAGAGGAATGTCCTCGATTGCATGGTTGGAGAGACAATGAAGTTCTGTACACCAATTTTAGGATACGTTCTCTCGGAGGTTGTATATCCAGTTGTATTCTGTACAAAATGCCTTTTGGCTTTGCTCAAAGTGTTCGATTTATCGTTTCTATATAATTTCTAGAAACTTTGGTGGAAACATATACTAATTCTGCTGCATGACCAGTATAGCACTCTTAATTTAACCTGGAAAGCAGGCATTTTATTAATTTTACTTTGACAGGTGAAACGAACCGCTGTTTATACACGTGACACAAGTTTAGAAATTTAGATACCCTTGGCTAAATAGACTCATGTAAGTTACAGATTCCCTGGTGCATCGTATCTTCACTAAGCTGAATGGGATGAAAAGGTTCTGGTATAAAACATCATAATTCCTTCTAGTATTCATAGAGTAAAATATACCATATGACTATATAGCTATATATACCTGTGTAAAGCGTAGTTGACCCTAAACCAAGTATGACGATTGGCACAATGCCACAGCTATACTTAGTATATATGTATAGTTAGCTATACAACTACATTTATAATTTTTATACAAAAGCATGGTACCCTGCATATAATCTCTCCCTTCAAACGAAACAATTATTACCATTCACTAGAATTCTAAAAATGTGTAGTAGTCGTTTCAGAAACTGTGCTATCACACTGACTTGAAGTATTCGACGAATCTGATGATGTAGTGTTTTCATCTTGGTTTACATTATAACATAACTGTTCATTATTTACTATTTCATCTGTAGATTCACAGCTGTCAGGAGCGGTTTCATAAACATTTGAGCTATGGCGTGAATTTTGATCATTGTCAGCCTCTGGAATAGAACTGCTTACTGTTTGAAGTTCCTCAAAAGAAGAATTATCATTCCCCAAGGTGGAATCGTCATCAATACTGATTGGATCTGTTGTGATATTGCCTGGATCTGTTGTGGTATTGCTTGATTCGTCTGTTGTGGTAACGTTTGGTGATTCTTCATTTAAACTGTAAGGTGGTGGTTCATCACTATAACTAAGTGTCATTCTTCTTTCTTCAAAATCACCTCCTTGACTTGAACTATACAATGGCGGTTGACCATCATCATCACCTGAATGACTTATTTCACTGTACGATGGTGGGAAATCATTATTAAACAGGGTTGATCCCCTGATAGAAATGTTGACCTCGAAATTATTGGAGGCAGGATCATTTGTTGAAGAATTACTTATTATAGTCTGCAAGTTTAGATTGTAAACTGGAGGATTGCCATCAGTCCTTGATCCTGTGTTCTGTACAACACTCTCGTAAGCTGGTGGTGCCATTGGAGTGATAAAACCATGATTTTCAAACTCAAACACCTCAAATGGTGGCTCGTTGTTTGCTTGTTCTTCACTAGTAGTTCTAGTATCTTGTCGTCTGCAGATTTTCGATATTTTACGACACCACTGACATGAACGAAACAAGATGAGCAAAATAAACAGACTGACAACAACAATACCTACTACTCCCCAAGTTGTTACAGGTAAACAATTCTTGTTATGAGAGCAGTTACCGCTACAACATGTTAAACCATCACAGTCAAAATTTGTTTCGCATTTGAAATGCACGCAAGACATGGCACATCTGTTATGACGGCCATGTCGTCTGGTGCCACAACACTTAGGTTTGCTTGCTGGACATTTGCTATCAGGTGATGTGGCCGAAGTATAACATTTTCGACAATCAACTGTCACAAATGCAACAAATATTACGAATGCTGACAAAATGGCACGACCATTCATTTTGCTGTCCGAGGTAAATTATAATATATTCATTGCCGGATATCGCTGTTCAAAACTTGTGGGTGTATATTGGAATGCAACTATAGCAATGGCGAAAATAATTGTAATACTGGACAAATAATCTTCTAGCTTGCGTTTCAAATCCCCTGATCCTCTTGTAACGGCGTTTTGGAGAGAAAATTATTTAACAACGAAGGCCAATAGTTCTTCCATGATCCCGATTGCGTGATGTATTATCAAAAGTGCGTAATAATTAACTATACTTATCATTTGTATGCATATCCATACGTTTAGTCATATTGTGTTTGCTCTCGTATCAATATAACTGAAACATTGACACATAATCCACGTTGCTTTCGTCCGAATCATCTGCTATACTGATAGTTCTGTACAATGTAATTCCTGAAATCAATTTATTTCCTCAAATTAATAAAAACTGAGACAGTTTGCACAAGATTTAACAAGTTAAACAAATCAAAACACGTCACACCTTATGCCTTTCTTTGTTTGGGTAACTATAGCTCTCACAACAGGAATGTTATTAATTAACTGAGGTTTACTTTCTATCCAAACATAATTCAAACACCAAAACAATCCTTGTCTGAATTATATGTTTTAAAGTCTATCAATCCATTGTATTTCTTCAGTCTGTCAATATCATTGCTCTCATTTTTCTGTCGAAATAAAAGTGCTATCTGTTTCCTAACATTGATTTTCAGTCATAGTATGTTTGAAGATATTGGCTGAGCCCAGCGTCTTTTATAGCTTCTGAATTGTTATGATTTCCATTATATGAATGTTATTAAACTGGAACAGGTGGTACAGGTATATATATCCGCAGGTGTTTTGACAAAATATTTCGAACTTCCAAATGAAGAATACATTGGACATCCCGTCCAAGGTTTTATATACAGAATTTCATAAAATACAAAATAACGGCAACTCCGAAAATGAACTTTTTAATATTCAATAGCTTTTGACATTACCCAGGAATGACGATGACTGACATATAGTCGAGCGCTAGGATATTGAAATTGTTGCCGTTGTTTTGTATTTCGTAAAAATACTCACTCACGAAAGTTGCTCTATATTCTTCATGTTCTCTATAAACAAAACTCACTACATGTTCTCTTTATTATTACCAGTCATGCAGTATACAAAATATCATATTTATCCAGGTGGCATCTACAGGAGGTAACATCCTCATGTTTCGTGCACGAATATATTTCTCATTGATCATGATCCCAACAACCACCCGATGTCTGTGGGACAGTCGGACGGACCATTAAATCGGACCATTTCCTCTGCTTTCTCTCTAAAGGTTGGACCATTTTCTCTACTTTCCTCTCTAAATGGACCATATCCTCTGCTTTCCTCTCTAAAGGTTGGACCATTTTCTCTACTTTCCTCTCTAAATGGACCATATCCTCTGCTTTCCTCTCTAAAGGACGGACCATTTTCTCTACTTTCCTCTCTAAATGGACCATATCCTCTGCTTTCCTCTCTAAAGGTTGGACTATTTTCTCTACTTTCCTCTTTAAATGGACCATATCCTCTGCTTTCCTCTCTAAAGGACGGACCATTTTCTCTACTTTCCTCTCTAAATGGACCATATCCTCTGCTTTCCTCTCTAAAGGACGGACCATTTTCTCTACTTTCCTCTCTAAATGGACCATATCCTTTGCTTTCCTCTCTAAAGGTTGGACCATTTTCTCTACTTTCCTCTCTAAAAACGAACCGTTTTCTCTTTTCTCTACTTTCCTCTAAAGGACGGACCATTTTCTCTACTTTCCTCTCTAAATAATGGACCATTTTCTCTCCTTTCCTCTCCAAAGGACAGGCCATTTTCTATACTTTCTTCTATTTTCTTTACTTCCCTCTCTAAAAGACGAACCATTTCTCTACTTTCCTCTCCAAAGGACGGACCATTTTCTCTACTATCCTCTCCAAAGGACGGACCATTTTCTCTACTATCCTCTCTAAATGATGGACCATTTTCTCTACTTTCCTCTCTAAATGATGGACTATTTTCTCTACTTTCCTCTCTAAATGATGGACCATTTTCTCTACTTTCCTCTCTAAATGATGGACCATTTTCTCTACTTTCCTCTCTAAATGATGGACCATTTTCTCTACTTTCCTCTCTAAATTATGGACCATTTTCTCTACTTTCCTCTCTAAATGATGGACTATTTTCTCTACTTTCCTCTCTAAATGATGGACTATTTTCTCTACTTTCCTCTCTAAATGATGGACCATTTTCTCTACTTTCCTCTCTAAATGATGGACTATTTTCTCTATTTTCCTCTCTAAATGATGGACCATTTCCTCTACTTTCCTCTCTAAAGAACGGACCATTTTCACTACTTTTCTCTCTGAAGAACGAACCATTTTCTCTCCTTTCCTCTGCAAAGGACAGACCATTTTCTCTACTTTCCTCTATTTTCTCTACTTTCCTCTTTAAAAGACGGACCATTTTCTCTACTTTCCTCTCCAAGGGACGGACTATTTTCTCTACTATCCTCTCTAAATGATGGACCATTTTCTCTACTTTCCTCTCTAAATGATGGACCATCTTCTCTACTTTCCTCTCTAAATGATGGACCATTTTCTCTACTTTCCTCTCTAAATTATCGACCATTTTCTCTACTTTCCTCTCTAAATGATGGACCATTTTCTCTACTTTCCTCTCTAAATGATGGACCATTTCCTCTACTATCCTCTCTAAATGATGGACCATCTTCTCTACTTTCCTCTCTAAATGATGGACCATTTCCTCTACTATCCTCTCTAAATGATGGACCATCTTCTCTACTTTCCTCTCTAAATGATGGACCGTTTCCTCTACTTTCCTCTCTAAAGAACGGACCATTTTCACTACTTTCCACTCTTTGCATTCTCTTTTCCTTTCATTTTCCTTGAATTGCACAAATTCTTTTGGTTATCCCACCTGATTTGATCAAGTTTGATCAACTACATAACTAAGCGGTCTAAGGTGACTATTTTTTAAAGGACAGAAGAGGTATTTGGTTACAATATAAATTGTATGGTTGTACAGCAGTTTAACAGTTACAAATTTCATTTGGTAAGACCAATTGAGTTATAATCTAACTTTGAAAATTGTGATATTAAAACAATTCTGATCGTTTGGCATAATTTAAAATTAAACACGTATCAGCAGCAAAACAAATCAGTTTTTTATTTCCCCCCCCCCCTTTACATTCAGATGCATGGTAAACACGCATTTGAATTCTCGACAAATAGTATGAGGATCTACGATATTTTAGTGTTAGATCATGTTTGTTGCGATAGACTATAATTGTCTACTGCGAAAGAACATGAACAGTAATTACGAGTAAACACACAGATGTCGATGCAAATTTCTAAACAAAAAATGACGCTGCCCGTACCCGTAAACCGGACCTGGGTATCTTCAGAGGCGCCGGAATATCGATAATTGAGGGGGGGGGCAGATATTCATATATTCGTGTTCACAGACTGTAAAAACAATCGATTTCAAAAGAAATTAATTGGGCAGAACACGAATATATGAATATCTGCCCCCCCCCCAATTATCGATATTCCGGCGCCTCTGGGTATCTTAACCTCTCTAAAGGCCTGATTCCACGGGCGCTTTTTCTCGGCGAAATGCGAAATATTTCGCTTGTTTCTTTTGAATTGTGAGCAATCAAGTAGAAATAATTTATTCGAGTGGTCGCAATTCAAAAGAAACAGGCGAAATATTTCGCATTTCGCCGAGGAAAAGCGCCCGTGGAATCAGGCCTTAATGAGTACAACCACTGTCCGGATCGGTATTATTGCCATGGCAACAATCGTACTCCGCTAAGGTGCTCCAAGGACAGGTGCTTATTACATATCCAAGACTTATATAAGTGTCGTTCGAATCAGGAAGCAACCGTCACTGTTGGGGGATACGGCTGAATGGGGTACTCTATCTTTCTTCATGCACAGAGCATTGAACAATGTGCATGTATACTATGTATTTGTAACGATATTTAGTTTATGATTGAGTCAGTTTGCTTTGTCTTTGATCTACCGTGGTTATTCAAACGCCTATAGGGACAAGCTTATTATTCATGGGTCAACAACGAATTTTAAATTGCCAAAAGAGGCAACGACAAACTCAATCGCCTCACCTCATTCTCGACTAGATAACGCGATACCGTCTCTAGAAAGAGACAATGTTCTCCAGCCATGCCTGACGTCCGTCGAACTCTATCACCTGGCCCAAGCCCAATGTTGGTCACAAATGATCTGTTACCGTTTGAAATATATAAAGATAATTGAGGCGTACCAGCAGTTATCTCAACCTCGGTATCGGTATACGAGTTTCAGGTATAGTTTTGAACCTGACAGAGGCCGATTTGTATAGTATATATTTACGTCTATATCACATAAACGCCTAAACGACCTAAATTAAAGTCCAAACTGGTGATTAATTTGTGGTTTTGGTCGGAACTACATAGTGGTTTCATCTCAAAGTGCGAGATGAAGAAAACTTCGACGTTTTGAGCGAAGGCAAAGGTTTTTGGTTTGGAAGTTAGCGAATGATAAAGTTTATTTTTTAAAGGAATTTCCGACCATTTAATAAAGATTTAGTGGATACAATTAACGAATACAAATTACACGTACGTCTATATAGTCTACACTCCTGCATGTATATAACGATTAACGGTACTCAAATAAGCATGTATAATGGAAGTGTTCGAGAAAACTGATGAAAAGTGTTCGTTATTTATGTTTCAAATATCGGCAATCCATTTGTTGACTGAAGTTTTATGTAGTACACAACAACTACAATTTTATCCCATCAACATCATTATATATTGGTGGCATAGGATTGAAACCCTGATTATAAAATGGAATAATAAATACAGAATTATGTATACGTTCTAAACTTCTTACATCATCGTAAGTTCCGTCTTCGTAATGTCGTTGTCGGCAGAAACAACGTGAGACGAAGTACGCTATTACAGATATAAGAACGAGTGCCAAGACACCAGATATAACTGCTATGTCAAGAACTCCAGGCTGCTTCTCTGAACTCATGCTACAACACGATCTGTTTGGTACACTTTTCACAACACGTCAGGCCATTGCAATCTTCTCCAAGTTTTACATCTGAAATGCATGCCAATTAATCACACAATGTTGGCTTTGATATTCCTGCTGCGCACCGAAAGAAAGTGGAAGCCAAAGTGGGCGCTCTTTGAACGGACGAATGTTTTAGTTTGAACACAACTTGAATGTGATTGAATGCAATGCTAATGTGGCAATGGACGGAACAGAAATTCCTCAGGAAAATCAGGAACAACAAGCCATGGTGAACAACTTCAATACTTCTTCGATATGTATACAACATAGACGGATGAAAGCAACTCTGAAAGCGTTGTATGCAAAACTCTGACTCTGTATACTAGCTAAACCACTATTAAAGCGATATCGCTTAACAAAAAATTGAAGTGTTTACGACAAGATCGGTTCCGATATTCAGTCAAACACGTAAAAATCCTTAGTATGTCGATCAATTACTCAAGAGCATTTTACACACTTCGCATTCGTCCGCATTTGTAGACAAAGTAAAGCAATATAATGACTTTAACGAGTCTCGTTACACATACTCATTAATATGTCATTTACATTTGGATAATCTTGCATGCAGTTACTGTACCTGTACGAATGCGCTACATTTGAAAAGTTTGAATGTATATATAAAGCATTTATTGTAATTATTTTGCCACTATTCTATGATAAATTAAATAACTAAGCATTAGAGCACATATATAAGAGCACATATATTCTTCTCAAAACACGTGAAATGCATGTAAAAAGCACGAGTCTTTGAAAGATGCAGTTGCGAGTGCTATAGGCACGTGTTTAGCACGACTCTTTGGAAGGTTTTGTGGGTGCATGGTGTCCACGTGTTGACTCGGTGAGAAGGATTAACATATTTTCTATTGTGTGGTTGCATCGGATGTATACATGCTTTATACAATGATCATTGCCGTTAAGCAGTGAAAGATTTTGGCAAGACAGTGCGAGATAAGGGGAATATTTGTGTTTTTTTAGTGTATTTATCATGATGCTCATAAATTGCTTGTAGTGTAGGAATTGGCCCACCTACTGGTATAAGTAATGTTAAGTCTAAGAACTAGCTAGCATATCAAACTCCAACTTGCATGCATGAGCATTTGCGACAAGTGTTATATGGCACCTTGTCTGCCATAAAAAACTCAAGAATTTCACCCCTTTTCATATAAGAAAGCAACTGGCTGAATCATTAGTCCTGTCAGTTCTTGACTACGACGTGGTATGTCACCCAGCTCCACTCAGAATACCTTATCAAACGCCTACGAGTACAGCTTGCAGCTGCTGGCTTTGTGGCGGGTGTATCATATGCGCGAACATTTCGGACATACTTAAGTTGGGCTGGCTCCCAGTCAAATATCGCAGGGAGTTTGCACATGACTAAACTAATATTTAAAGCACTATATATGGCCGATTGGCCTTCGTATCTTCCTTTGGAAGTTTACAAACCCGGAAGATCTCTCAGATCGTCTATAGTGAGTTCAAACTAGTAAACCCGTTTGTTATGGGACATATCAGCATACAGCATCGAAAATATTTAATAGCCTTCCAGCTGAAATTGGGATTTGTAATACGGCTAGCGAATTTTATTCTTTGTGTAAGAATCATTTCATGATATTGGCCAAGGCAGACATTGATGAATGAACCTAACTTCACTATATTCATATTAGTGAACATATATTGTATATATAGTCATTTTTACCATAGGCATAGGCGTATAGTATTGTAATTTCGTTCTCCTTTTTGTAATTCATTCGTTCTCCTTAATTAATTATTATTAATTATTAATTAATTATTATTAATTATTATTATTAATTATCATCATCATCATCATCATCATCATCATCATCATCATCATCATCATCATCATCATCATCATCATCATCATCATCATCATCATCATCATCATCATCATCATCATCATCATCATCTCAGACACTTAAACCTGTTGGCTATTTTTAAGACACGACTTAACTGTCCTGTGATTTAGTTCAAAAAGAATCTTTAAAATGAACCTATATACCTGGATTACTTGCAAAGTGTTATATTATTATCAAGATGATCGGAACGACCATTGCTTGTATATTGAGAACTGTCCAAGGTCGTGTGGTTTATTGGAAGCTGAAGATGATGGTTAATGACTAATTGTTATTCTGTAAGACTTGAGTATCTTCCATGAGACTGGCGTTGCCATTATCGCCCCAAATCAAGTCGGCATAATCGAAGATAGGTAATACGAGGTCGATATCAAGATTTTGTTGGCATCTTACTCGTTTGAATAATAGTTGAAAGGTATTGTAGATGGAAATTATCGAGTGGAATTTATATACATTTATTAGACCTAACCAGGAACAGCTGCGAAAAATGCAACTACGGGTCCCTGGCAGGAATCGAACCTGCGATTTTGGTGCAGTGCTCTATATACCCTAGTATATATACATGAACTTGCATGTGGTTAGAGCTCGACAACTGATCTCTGTAGCTCAGTTGGTTAGAGCGCTGCACCGGAATCGCAGAGCCGCAGGTTCGATTTTGCATTTGCATTCTTGGCAGCTGTTCCTGGTTAGTGCTAATAATAGTATATAAATTTCCACTCGAGAATTCCATCTACAATACCCTTCAAATACGAGGTCGAGGCTATTATAAATAACAGTCGAGCTTTCAGTAGTCCAAGACTTCATTAATCTTCCGTGTTCACTTTTCGACATAATCATGCCGTTTAAAGTATACAAATGATGCAACCGAATAGAAGTCCTGGGAGTATTCTTGAGCTTTTTTCACTTATTCATAGGTAACCAATCAGCTACAGTATATAACTTTCAAATCAGTATTCAAAAATCTGGTGTTACAACAGAAGATAAGAAACATGAAGTACAGTATCATCAGCATTTATATAATACCTTATTGAATTCTGATCGTTTGATTGGCTGTTTGTACGTGATATTGAATAGAAAATTCTATTTCCCAAGAGTGCAATGGAATAGCCTACGTTCCATTGCACTCTTTGAGAGTGCAATTGTGCTATACGTTTTATTCCATTGCACTCTTTGTATTTTTCGTCAAAATGCTTCTCATGCAAATCTATTAGTCTATTTTGGTATTATATATAAAGTTGAATGGAATATTCCATCTTTCACCTCATGAAAATATTCTTACCATTGCACTCATAAACATTCATTAGTTGTATAATGTATAGTATAGTGTCGTGCCTTGCTATATCTGCGGTACGCATAGTGCTCCTATTTTTATTATTATGTTTCTCGTGATGTACAAAGAGATTCTTTGATATTACCAGAATTATTTTTAATTGTTAATGATTGTTTTAATTGTTGTAATATGCAAGTTTTAACCACTCTTGCGGAGGAACAAGTTATTATTTAAAATAGCTTAAATTGTTTTATGTCATTGTCATTATTTTTCACCCTATATTAAAATTTCGTATTCTTAAAAAGAAGAAGAGTTCAAAGAAGCTACTTTTTACTATTGAGTACACAGAAACGCAACATGACCTGTCATATAATACACTGTGTTGCCATTATTACATTACTTACATATTTAACAACAATTTGTCAAGCAGCTGTATGTTTCAATCAAACAAGATACATTCTTGAAGAATGCCCACCAACTCTTTCAAAATGTTGTGGCAGCAAAAACGAGTATCGCAAGCAAAGTTGTGCTTCCTCATGTTGGAATTTTAAGTGTGACACAAACGAAGATTGCCATGGACTGACATGTTGTAATGTTACTGCTAGATGTGTAAATACTACATCCGTGTGTGCAGATGAGGATAAACAAGGAACACGTAAAATTATAATTCTCGCTACGATTGGTGTGCTCTGGTTTGTATGCCTATGTTTTGTAATTTGGATTGATATAAAGAAAGGCAATAAAAACAGTAAATATGGTTTCAGTGGTCATCGAATTAAGATGCCCATACAGCTGTAGTTGTGACTGGATTCAATTAATCCTCTTAACCATAGTACTGTACGTGTTCGTATCGTGAGAACAACGAAATAACAATCACAATAACACCTGTAATAGATAAATTTTATTCTTTTAAATGTATTTTATGATCGTTTTCAGGCGGGAGTTGCCACTTCATTTTAGTAGAAATTAAGTAGATCGATTAATTTATGTGACGAAAATGTTTTGAAAATACTGTAACTTCGTATATTGAATGCTATTTCGTTTGCAATAGTTACAAAGACAATGAGCCAACTGTAGCCGTTAAAAAGCATAAAAATTCCTGTGCATATAAACATGCAATATCATGTTATGAAATGACTTTACTTGCATCTTCTTGGACGCAGATATGATTTCAGTATCAACGTGGTTTGTCACGTGATCAACTTCGTGTGGAACTCCAAGTTAACCTGCAAGTTTGGTCGATTGACATTAGCAGACCTTGAATTTTGCAAGGCCGCTACAGCTCCCTTTACGTACGTTGATTCAGAGGTAGCCATTTACAGCAAAAAAATAAAATTAAAAACTAACTTTTCATTTCCAATTGATCATGGTTCTGTTTGCGGGAACAAACAGATAATTCTTTTATGATTTTCGAATTACCTTTCTGAACTACTATTTCTACTTTTCATCATTCTCCTTAGTGAAACCAGGAGAGCGATTTCCCACTCTCCTCTTTGGTAAAAAATTCAAGGTCTGCGGAGACAACCCCCTCTGAACAAAGTTGAAAGACTTGTGAAAGTCTAAACTCTGTGGCAACTGTAGCTCATTTTCCATTTTTTAGAATTTTTCCCCGGGATAAACTGGATAATCTAAATGCTGCAAATAAACTATTACTCAGGCTTTTGCTTTTATTTATAACTATTTTTTGTTTAGATGAAGACTGTAAAGTTAGCTTAGAGGGAAACCCCAAATATATAGTGTGGTTGAATGTTTTGGATGATACAGTGCTTAATTTGTTTGCGCATTTGTTGTTGCGGATTTCTGATCGAATCTGCCTAATCCAACGAACTGATCAGACACCACGTGTACATAAATTAGGTTGATTTTGTTATTAGTTATTGATGGTTCATTGCACTAATATTAGTATTAATTCATTCTTAACTTTAGTGTATGTTTGTATCTCAGGGGTGTATCATTAGATATCCTGGGAGGGGGCATGGGTGGCAGATCCAAAACAAAATTCATGCGAGTGGAATTTGAAAAAAAATCATGCAAGCATTTAGGAAAAGAAAAAAAGTTTATACAACTGCATGGTATATACAGAAACATATAGAAAAAATTGACTGAAAGTGCCTATGACACGAAATTTTACCCCAAATGTTTATGATTGCGTTGTAAAGATCACTTAAAATGACTTAATAATTTCTTTTATAGAAGTTTGGTAACTTGCTTCCTTTGTAAGATATTCAACTTTGTTCCATAATTATGCAAATATCACCGGTGTGACATCACATGGCATAATGACATTTTGAAAACGCAATATTTTACCTTGATAAAATATTTTTACAAACAAATACAGAGGGTTAATTACCAGTTATGAAATGAATACATATACAAGGGTAATTTTTAAGTTTTTTAGATACGTATTCGTCAAGAAAACTCATTATGTGATGCGATGTCACACCGGTGATATTTGCATATGAAACAAAGTTGAGTATTTTGAAAAGGGAACAAGTTACCAAAAT